CGCAGCATGTGTACGGCCCATGTGTACGGCTCTGAGAATCTGCCTTGGCACAAAGTAATAGTGAAAACGTGGTACGGAATTTCATTGATTTGGGCATTCTCTCAATAAGCAAGTGGAATGGATTTGATAGTGAAGCACTGACACGGCGCTCTACAGAGAGCGACGAGTGGATAGACCGATGCACGGACTTTCCACATGGTAAAAGTGGGGGGGTCTAAACTAATCATTTTAAAAAGGCTGCGATAATGTATAATGTAATGGCTGCGATGCCCATGGTTTAAATAACCCAAACTCTACTCTTGGTCTTCCTCTCTGCAGACTGACTGAACTTTCTTGCAAGAAATAGAATACAACAAAGACAGCTGAATGGTTTGATTCTCTATCCACATTTGATAAATAAATTCCCGCCACACATTCACTCCTAATAGTCCGCTTCTCTGGTTCACACGGGCAGAACTCAAACGGACTATCACTTTAAACACAAGTCATGTGCACGAGATGCTGTTCAACAATTGGTCAGACATTAAGGGGGAAAAACACAAATCCAGGCAATTTCCACCGGAGCCTGAAGCATCTTCAGGTTATTTTCATGCTGCTGTTAATCTGGAGATCATATCAACGCTTCCTGTGTTTTGGTCTCAGACTGTGTTCACACCGACCCAAACGAGCCGCACCAAGCGGTGAAACGCTCCAGGGTTCGATTCAACCGGACTAAACAAAGCTGGTGTGAACGAGACCTTAAACTCCAGGGGCCCGATGATGGTGCCCTGAGGAACTCCGTTATCACTTCATCAAGGCATATTCACTAAAGTAATTGTAGTACAAAGTGCAGATTTCTATTCTAACTTCTCTATGTTAATATATATATAATAAAATATGTACTCACTCGACGTGCAGCCCGTAGGCCTGGCCCCTGAGGTCCCGGTACTCCTTCCAGTGCGGCAGATCACACCTGACCGGGAACTTTCCCTCCTGCCGGATCACCTCTTCGATCAGCTCCGGCGACGCCACGTTCACGATGTCGAACGGACCGAACCGGGACCGCCAGATGGGCCCGAAGAGGTTCTTCTGCACATCCTGCAAACAGAGCGTCAAAATAAAAGCATGCAATGTGTTCATTTACAGTGGGGCAAATTATGAAACTTTGTCATAACAAAGCAGTTTATAACTCTATTCAAATTAAAGCATTTATACTATACTGTTTATATTGTAATGTACATATTGTTACATATTTATTGTTGTTTTGAATTGTGGTACACCGTGGCACATATTTCTTGTTGTTTTTACTTTACTAAAAAATGTAATGTTAATTGATTTTGTTGTTATTTTACTTTATTAGCAACCAAATCCATTTTCCTCCCAGGAATTTTGTATTTCTGATTTTAAATGTATAGTAACTTTATAATAACAATAGAAAGTCCACAAAAAACTCAAAACCTGACTTTTTATCTCTCTCACAAAAACAAAACAAAAAAATGTAAGGAGTTTTGCCTGAATGCATTTGCTCTGAAAGGAAACAGTTGTTGCTAAAACATGAAAAAATATTAGTTATTGCTTTTCAGCGGTGTACATAACAGCTACACTGTTAAAAAGAACATGTATCGTGCAGTGGTCCGCTCTGTACCTGCAGCAAGTGGCTCTTGTCCGCGTATCCTTTGATGAATAACCAGTACAGAGTGGTGGCTAAACTGGGGCCGGGCAGATCATCGATGCTCTTTGTTTTCCCAGCCTCGATGTCGGCCTGGAGGTTCAGGGTCTGGTCCAGGCCGGAGGAGCCCCGGGAACGGAGCTCCACACCGGGCCGAGCAGCAGGAAGTGTCCGGGGACAGAGAGCCTGGAGCCGGAGAGCCCGGGTTGTCGAAGAACCCATGGTGGAAGAATCTGTGAGAGTGTTTGTGTGTGTGTGTGTGTGTGTGTGTGTGTGTGTGTGTGTGTGTGCGTGCGTGCGGGTGTGTGCGTGGGTGTGTGGGTGTGTGTGTGTGTGTGTATCACCCTGCATTAAATCAATGTAGGTAGGTTACTGTGTAAAAAGATCATT